AACACCTTGGTTTCTTCCCCCACGTGCTGGCTCATGCAAACACACCCCCTCACTCACAGCATATTGTTCAGTAAAGTGGCTGTGGAATTAACATTTTTCCTGGAAGGACTGTATCTGATTTAATGACCAAATCATTTTAAGGCAGCACAACAGAATTTTACAGGAACAAAATTTCTTCCTTCACACCGATCATGCATGTTTTACTCGAGTATTGAGTCATTAGCATGTTTATAATGGTTCTAATTTAGCACAACATTTTCTGAATTTTATCCTTGAGTCATTTACAAATTGTTCTTATTGAGTAAACAAAGGGAACAGATTGCATTTATACTTAGCAATTTATCTGAAAGAAGAGGGGAGGGTTAATTGTTTTAAAGTTTTGGTCTGTTTGGGGAAGTGAGCCTGCTTTCTCATTGCTAGGCATACATGCTTTTCTTCTCATCATTTTTTGGAAGGAGGGTATGCTGTGGAGGAGGAAAATGAAGACGAAGGAGTAGGCCAAGGTTGGCCACTCCCATGGGGGAGTATGGAGCACAAGGGGGCTGGCACGAGATTATCCCAAACAGTTGGTGCATTCCTTAATGATCAAGTGCTTGACAAGTCCAGTCCTTCCTGGCAGAGCATCTGTGTTGATGTTTATACCACTGCCCTGCTGTATGGGAAAGGCATGCTTTTTCTGCTGCTTGACTAAAAATAGGATGGAGTATAGCATTGTATGAGATATTTTAAGATAGCAAAAACATTTAAGAGGTTAAAGGTTTGGCTCTCAGATCAGAAAAGCTCAGTGATATAGTGTGCACTGTTCTTTCCACACTGGATTTTCTGTAGAGTTGGTTGGTGATCTGCACACTGGGTTAGAGAAGTTATTTCTAGGTTTGTTTGGTTCAGTCTGAAAAACATACTCTGTGGGCTTTTCTGTCAGCTCCCTGCATGAAGTGCTTGCTTGAAAACAGACTCTATTTATACCCCTTGTTCTTATTTGGAAAGTCAGTTGTTTCATTGTGTGTGTGTGTGTGTGTGTGTGTGTGTGTGTGTGTGTAGGGACAGACATCATGGAGCATTGCTTTGTATGTTATAGTGACTTCAAAATAAAACTGGCACATTTTAGTGTCTAATTATTTTTAGTGAGCTTGGAGGGTTTTAATTAAAATTTAAGAGTGCTCTTCAAGCTCTCCAAGCTCCAATTTCATCCCACTGTACTGTGGAGCTCTTGCCACTGGGTGAAAAGAAGCACATAGCTGCCGACTGCATCTGTGTGTCCCCAATGAGAGCACTTGGAGCTGCTGAGGGGCGACTAAATGGACATTGTCACGTTTGGCTAGAAACTAAAGTCATGAGCACTTCAGATAAATATCAGTGTTTGGGAAGACAGAGAAAAGTGATTGCATTTGAAATAGGTGATTCCAATGGTAAAATGAAGGGATGCCTTTACAATCGCCTTAAGTACCAGTAAAGTACACATTTCTTCTAATGTGTACACAGGGACTGAAAGATTTGCTTTTTCACTAGAATATTTGAAAGATATTTTCTGTCTCATATTTGTGATAGTTTAGCCCTCTGATTTTCAATATCCCATGGAAGTGAAAGGAGTAACAAACGTTTACTCACAGATAAACTGTTTCAAAGTATACTGAGATATTTCCCATTATTCTGTCTTCTTTCTTGGCTTTAATTATGATTTATTTACTCTCTGACACAGAGGATAAAGCTTTATCATAGTACTCCTGAAGCCATTTTTAAAAATATATATAGGGGGTAATTGAAAATCTTTCCTAAAATATCTATCCACAGATTAATCCACCTTGAACTTCTATTATTCCATAAAATGTGTTATTAGCCAGCATATTAGCACACCATGGTGAATCACATCCTTTACTCAGCCCAAAGTCTCAGTTTCTAAGAAACAGAACCAATATTTTGCATTCTATTTTGCATTTTAAATAAAATCAGTCCTGAATTATATCTTTCTTTTGTTAGAAAAAGTTTAGAATACATTTCCTGAAAGATAAAAGCTTAAACAAAATCCCCAAAATCATCCTCCAAGTCAGCCTGCCAAAAGCTACATAACCCAGTAGTAGTCTAGAGATAAGGAATCTCTACATCTTTGCTTCAAATGGAGAATAGCTAGAATCATATTTCCATCATTCATAAATTAATAGGCAAAATAACTTGAGGTTCCGGGGTTTCACTGAGTGGGTGTTGGGTAGAAGGGGTGACCTCCAGCTTCTGGTGACATGCTATACAATGTCAGAGCACTGTAAATTATACCTGTTTTTTTAATTTGTTTACATTGTGGGACTACTGTGTACCATACATAGTATTATGATCTTTTCTCTCAGTCTTGAAAAGTCATTTGGTTCTATAGCTGCAGACAGCTCAGTCACAGAAGTTTGAACAGTCAAACTTAGATAATGAAATTACTGTCACTGTCTTTTTGAGTGGAGAGTTATTTTCAGATTAATCAAATAAAACATATTTGTTCCATGACAGAGCCCTAAAGTATTTAGGGAACATTTGTTTTTGTCCCCATTTAGAATCACTGTGACTATTGTATTGAAGACTCTTTCTGTCTTGCTCTTTCTGTGAGGGGTGTAAGGTCTCATTTAAGTAGTTATCCCTCTTTGATCTTTGCAGTTGTGCTAAATCACAATGGGATAAAGTCTGCTCTGCCCAGCTGCCTGCTGCTGATGTGCTGGATGGCTGTTGTAGAATGGGAAGGGAGCCTCACATTTGGCCTGCACCCCTACCCAGATACTGAGTGCATTAGTCTGGTCCATGGGACTGGGACCTTTGACAATACAACTTTTCATATGTAACTTTGGACCTTTTATATGTTTCCTCATCTCTAATCAGAAAGTCCCCCAGGACAGAGGAGCTGGGTGACAACCAGCTTCTGGCTAGTCACACTCACCTCACTTGCTTTACAGCACCAACGTATCTCTTGAAGGTCTGGCAGTCAGACGAGTAGCCAAAAGATACTGTTAATTTTAAGCCCTAGAATTAAGATCAAAGGATGATGAAGTTGTATGAACTGACTATTAATGCCTTCAGATAAATATTATCTGTGGTTGCTATTAAATATCTATCTATTTAAGCAGGAGCTGGTATAGCTGGCTGTTTGTGTTAGCAAGGATGGATGTGTTAGAATGTCACATGCTTTGGAGCCTGTGAATGTGTCGCTCTCCTGTGAAGCCTCCATTCTTGTTGTCCATAGAGCTTTCTTCTTCTCCCACAGAGCTTTAGCATTCTTTCCTGGGATCTCTGGGGGTATTTTGAATCTATTTTTAGAAATTATAGACATGCTTTACATTGCGTGTGTGTGTGTGTGTGTGTGTGTGTGTGTGCATGCACACACACACACACACACACACACGAGTGGACTTGACTTTGTTACCATCCTTATGATACTGGGGTTCTGTCTGATGAGCATCTTTACTCTAACTTGACCAGACATCTGGGACTCTTGCATCTGTGCTAGTGAGCATCAATTTAGTGCAATGATTGGGGAAAATGTAGCAAGCCCTTGTAGAGTGTAAAATTCAAGGCTATTGATCTGTCTCATAGTTACCTAATGTTATAACCATCTTGATCTGATTGGAGAAACAATAAGGCCTGGCTTGCATGACTTTGAATATTTGCTCCTTGGCTCTGTAAACTCCGTCTTAACGTTAGAAAAAATCCAGGTACTGAACAAATCACATGCAGCATTTCTGATGTGACATGGAGAGAAGGCAGGAAGGGGCGGAGCTCTCACTTAATAGCCTTCTATATAGATGAGACAGGGCCCTGTGACAGCATCAGCTCTTTCATGGCACTAGATCTGGATTCCATCCATTCCCTGATTGATTGATCTCATCACAAACAAACGTTAATTGTTTTCAGCAATACTTTCTAATCATGTGAAGGTCTTCTCATCTCTTAAGCAAGGATCACTGCCTTTTCCAAGAGCTTATCTAGCCTCTAAAGCCCTTTAGAGCCATCTTGACCTAACTGTCAATCTGAAAAATTCAAGGCGGATTTGGAAGCTAAAGGGGGAAAAACCTGAAAGGGAAAATACTCAAAGATAGGTGCTGGTATGGGGGAGAAAAAGCATTTGGAACTGGAGGAACCATTTTAAATATAATTTAAAAAGCAAGCTATCAGAATTTTGACACTTGGAATGTTAAAGTTTAATGGGAGTTTTAAAATCTGCATTCCCTGGAAACATGGCCTATTTGTTAAGAGCTGAGTCTTGGAAAGGTACATGCAGACAGTGGTAAGCAGGAGGCTTACTCTTGAGTCTATCTGAATCCTGAGACGAAAACAACACACACAGAAGAAAAGAGATTGTTAGTACAGTGTTCATATGTTTGGATTTCTGTAATATTATGAATCTTTATAAATACATACATACTTAATCCTTGTAACTTAGAACATTATTTTAAAGTAGAAATGGGTGGGCAGTATTTAAACAGCTATTTTCTTTAATAAACATATGTATTACTTTTTGTATAAACGTTTTAGCAGATTTCACCACGAAGACACAAAGACCATTTTGATTTTATTTACTTGCCTAATTTTTAGTTTTTCAAAAGTTGAATTTCTTTTTTTTTATGTGCTAAATGGTTACAGGTCAGTTGGCTTCTTCCCCCTTAACAATTTATCATTGTTTCTTGCACAGCATATAAATTGTACTTAGCCTTTTAAAAAAATCTCCTGGGCTAAAAGAAATATCATCTAAATTTAAAGCCACAGAGAAGAGCCTTTGTTCTGTCTTATCAGTCTGATAAATGATAAACATTGATTAATATTGCTAGAATCAGGCTGCTAAGCATGGATTACGGAACACTATCATCCTGAGGCGATAGTTTACCTTAGTCATGGTGTTTTGTTACAGAGCAAAGGTGGAATTAAAACAACAGCAACAGAAACAGCATTTGCTTGTTTTCCAAGGAGCCAGTTGCTCAGGCCCTCTGGGTCCGTAGCACACATCTTTAATACTTGCTTTTGTATTTTAATAGATTCCTCCTGCATGGAAAAACTACTTTCAAAAGATTGGAAGGAAAAAATGGAAAGACTAAATACAAGTGAACTTCTTGGAGAAATCAAAGGTAAAATATAAAAAGTATCAAATGTGTTCAGATGTTGCTTCACATATCTCATGCAGCTGCTGGTCTTTGTGCCAGGACCCTAAATTCTCATTTCTAAATTACTAAAGAGTAAAGAAATCTACTCTTCTTTCCATGGAAGAGTAGATGTGACACATCCCTCAGTGTCTTCTCTGTAAAGTGTGCACTATGGACATCTGCTGCTCCCAGTGTCAGAGCACAAACTACCTTCTGAATCTACTTGACAAGGATGGCGGAGAAGTTTTGTCAAACAATGAAGAACAGTTTAAAATGCTGTTTGTTCTCTTAGAATCACAGTACTAGCACGGTTTATAGATTGAAGTTATTTGTGTGATTTCTTTTTTTCTTCTGCAAATTGGCTCTCTATAAAATCCCAACCAAAGCAGATGGAATACGCCCTGCATCATGTTTTATGGATGATATTGGAGACCTATTTACCTTGGTTCCCATCCTGCCTATATCACTTTATGCCTGAGTAGTTTTGGCTAAACACTGCAGTTTCCTACATCTCTTACTCCCTGTCTCCATGGAGGTGATATGAGCATCTACTTTATATGCTCCTTAAGAGAGAGAGTTGACACAAATAAAGGTTTCACAACTGTATCACTTGGCACTGAACAGACTGTGGGAGTGGGGCTTACAGTGATGGTTACTGTTAATATGCTCATTGAACTGGGAACTGATTCATAGCAAAGAGAGCTCTGAGATTTAGCATTTCCTGCCCTTGGAATCCTAAAGTATCTTTGTTTTCTAATTTATTTTTGTGGTTCTGGGAACTAAACTAGACAGGAACCAGACAAGGTGTTAGGAAGCCCCATAGATTCATCCCCTGCCTGTATGTCATCCTTGTAAAACATTGAGAAATGAAGGAGTACAGTGTATTTCAGCATTGCTATCCTGTGAGCAAAAAATCTGTTCTTCTGGACTAATCCAGCTCTTGTGTGGACGTTTTTCTGGAAAAGTGTTATTTTCTTAAACTTCTGTGTCACAAGAGGAAGCCAGAGCCCCTATAAATGTCATCAGTCATTGCTCAGAAACTTCAGCCTCTGTTTGCAGGAGCACTTCAGAGACTTGATCACATTAGTTTTCTGGATTTATCGAACAATTTTGGGTTTTTTAGCTCAGTTAAGACAATCACTTGATAGTGGATACTTCATGAAAATGTTATTTTTAGTTTATCATAGAAAGTTGATAGAGCTCTGGTTCCATTCAATTCAAATACAGAGAACAGTTGTTCTTCCCAAAGAGTAATTAATAGCTTGTTCCATTAACTAACACGTGTCAGAATTAAGTGGAAATGGAATATTATTTGAATTTTACTGCTTCTGCTTTGTACTCATAAAGACCATTTGCTATTTTGGAAAAAACAGAATCTCAACATAACTGGTGGGTAGAAAGAAAAGTCATTATGACATATTCTCCATCCAGCTGCAATAACACGGGCTGTGTGACTTCACACGTCATTTTGTGTTTTCTTCTCTTTCCAGAGCCATTGCTTTTATAACAGTGAGGACAGAAATGGCTTATGCAAAGGCAAGCGTTTGCCAACATGAGTGATGGGGGTCTTGCTTTCTCCCACAGCATGGAAGCTAACATTTTACTATCTCCATGCTAATACACTTTGGCTTTTTATACGCTTCAGAGTACCTTTCCTCTCATACCTTTCAATTTTATTTATATTTAACTCTAATTATAAGCTTAAAAATTCAAAAATCAACAAAAGTTTCAAATGCTCAAAATGTGTAATTCTCAAAAGTGAAACATACAGAATCAAGCCTTTCTATGCTATTTCTCTGGAGACCTGTAGCTTCCAGTGGTGAACTATTCTGAATTTTATAGACATAAATGATAATATTCTTACTTAATTTTCTATTTAACTTGTTCTATATTTTTCTTTTTATACATTTTAGCATTTTGTCACCACAAACATTACATACAGAAAATATATCAATCATACACTAATTACACATTAAAAACCTTAGTAAAGTGGTAATTCAAACACTTTGCTTTAACCGCTGCTGAGAGAACACACTCCTTTTTTCCTATGTGACTTGCCATTCCTGCACTCAGGGCCATCTCTCTGAGGGTTTAAAGATGATCTACCCTTTGAGGATTATGTACTGTTGTGGGTAATCAGTAGCTCCTATCTTAAGCGTTGTGTATCAGTGGGTCCTATTTTCCCCTGATTCCAAAATTCATACATATTTATTTGTAAGAAATAGCATTCAACATACAAGTATTTTTTAATTCTGCATAAATCTCATGGCACAGGCTTTCTGTTTTAACTTTCATCTATACCCTAAGTTTTGTATAAATTTAGTGCCTTTTCTCTTATGAGCTGCTCCTTCTGCTTCATGCAGGTTTTCATTTGGATAGTCTTTAAAAATCATCACTGGTAAAAATGTGGCATAAAGTGAGGTTGCCTTTTGTCAACCAACCCGTGTTACTCAACACCAAGATTCTCATTTCCCTGTAAAGGACTTGTCCTATGCTTGCTGGCTGTCAGAGCTTGAGATCTCTTGGGTATATTTAATAATGTTACATCCAGGCATATACATGCCTGCCTTCTTTCTCCTTTAAATGTTTGACTCTGTTGAGGTTTGTTTGGGTAGGCATCTCCCACTCTTGAGATTAGACACTATTCTGCCATATTTTCTTCCAATTAGTTGGTTCTGTGTTGAAACATTTAACCTTTTCTTCCCTCCTGAATATATTTAGATGTATAATGCCAACTAGAGTTATAGTTCTTTTTTAAACAGTTAAAAAATAACATTATACATTGTGACTGAATGCTGTGATCACTCTTCACTTGAAATACTCTCTTTTCTTACACTTTATTATACATCTGAAACCATTTATATGATTTTTTACTAGTACTTTAGTAATAAATATAGTATATTTCATATTTATCATAATTTTTATCAAAGATATTTTCATACCTTTAAAAAGTTTATCTTGGATTGTTTTATATCAGTGTTAATTAACATCAAAATGTTTTAAAATTACATTTATATAAAACTATTAGATGAACAGACATATTTATAAACTCATAGATTTTCATTGGGAACAATTCATTCAATTCTTCTTTGAAGATTTATTAACTCGTGTGTGTGTGTGTGTGTGTGTGTGTGTGTGTGTGTTTTGCCTGCATGTATGTGCATGCAGTACCCACTGAGGCCAGAAGATGGTACTAGATTCCCTGGAACTGGAGTTACAGACATTGTGAACCACCACCAGGGTGCTGGAAACAGAACTCAGATCACCTACTATCATGCTCTTAACTACTAAGCTATCCTTCCATCCCCCTAACCAATTTTTGTATGTCCCTTAAAAACATTTTGGTTTTAATTCTGCACATTTCCTTTCATGTTTTATCCTTCAGTATTATTTTTCTTCTGTTACTGTATTTAGAGATTATACTAATTTTGGCAAATCAGTTTTACTGATTCACTGTATAATTTCCCTTTTTATAGAGAATACTTGGCCTAACAATGTAGCAGCTGACCAGAATGCCTTTATCTCATCACTTCATATAACGCCACCTAGATTGCTAAGAGCAGTATAAAACAATAGAGACAGAAGTGGAATTTTTGACATCGTTGTTACTTTATAGTGTTAGTTTTAGTATTTTACACTTTGTATTGACATAGCTTTCTTTTTAAAAACCATCTCATATGCCCCAGGCTGGCTTTTGAATTTGTTATAACCAGGAATGACTCTGAGCCCTTGCTCTCCCTGCCGCACACCACCATGCCTATGCCAGTTATTATTTTTTCCTTAAAATACAGTTTATTGTTGAAAATATCGCTTTTTATCATTAAAAATATAGTTTTAACTCTAGTCTCTTAGATGGCTCTAAGAAATTTTATTGTGTTTATTGCTAGTTTGGTGGATTTGAATTCATTATGAAACAAACCCAGGTTAATTGTGGGGTAGTTGGCTTCTAATGTCCTTCAGGGTGCATCTCTAACAAATTGGATTGATTTGTATTTATTTGTAATATATATGTATATTTCCAGAATTCAAAGTAGAATTCCTTTCTAGAGTATATAATAGAAGTAGAAAATATTTATGTATGTATATATTATATACATAATTTCTTGAAATTTTGATAACATATTCTGAAAACACCAGAGCCTAAAAACATTGTTTCCTTTTTAAGGGTAGGTCATTTTTTTTTCATAAAATACTTTTTCTGAAGTCATAGTCTGTGAGATTTTTCCGATGTTATCATTGGTTTAATCTGTAGTACTCAGCATTTCAGGCTTCTGTGTATTTTCTGTTATATATCTAAATCTTACTTTTGCAAATTTGTTTTTTCTTTCTGTCTTTCACTGCTCTCGGCAGTAGTTTTTCTACTATTTAGCCATTTACCTTAAAGGTGCAATTTTAGGATTTATGCGTTGATGCTGACCCCTTTCAGCATCCAATCAAATAATCATCTTGCCTTTGTTGGTACTGTTTCTTTAATCTTGATTTGCTTCCTACTTTTTGTTTGTTTGTTTTTATGTACTCTAACTTCCCACATTAAATGCTTCATTTAAAACTTTTAAACTTTAATATTAAAGGCACTTGGTTATGAGTATGTTTCTAGAAATAGCTTTATAACCACCCTGACTGTGTGGTTTTAGAATTTTTGCCATTTTATGATGATTTAATAATTACATCATTTGCTAACTAATTTATGTTGATATATTTTCCATAAGTTTATATTTCATTTTAAAGTCATGTAGTGTAACAAAGTTACTATAAGGAGGGAATGACCACTATCAATCTTAGTGGAATATTCTAGAAATATATAGAGGAAAAAAGTGGGGCCTTGGAATGTTTAATGTTTAAGAGAAGACTGAAAAATGAGTCTTCAATCCAGACACCTTAATATTCCTATACAATTAAGAAGCAATGATTTTTTTAAGATTTCACTTTAAACACTTTGCTTCAGGTAATATTATCCCAATGAGGCTCGGCAAGGCTGCTAAAAC